CATTTTAGTTGTATAAATTAATAAGAACTGTGTCTTTCAGATCAAAGTTCTATTTTCCAGAACGCCATTTATTTGTTGAAGTTTCTTCCTAAGAAATCACGTAGAAAAAACTCTTTATGCTCAGGGAAGAGGTCAGATAGAAAAAACAACGATGTGCTGAATAATATGCTATTTCCACAGTAATGGGAAACAGAGTGAGTGCTGCACAAGAGGAGGTTAGCTTCCCGTGCACTCTGAGGGGAGGGTTGGTTGTAAGGGCCTGGGACTTCTGGAATTATTCTATGCCGTTGCACCAAGCAATGATCTCTTGGATCTAATGCTCTCTGACTTATAATTTGGAAGACTTCACTCAGGCACATCTTGTCTGCGCCCTGAAGTTATTTAGACACGGGAGGGCTGATTTATTCAGCTTTTCTTTTGTGGATAAACTTTGGATAGGTTTGTTGCCCAAAGATACTTGCCTGCTCAGACTCATTGTCATCTCTGTACTGTAAGGCATCCAAGGGCAGGACCACCTGTGGGTATGGAAGATCCTGGAGACTCAGCAGAGTATTTTTCTTTCCGTAAGAGCAACAGATGTACTGCACTGATACTCTCTCTGTTGGGCTTTGTGATCTCCCCACAGGGATCCTGCTGGCTGCCTGGTGACATTCAGAACAGCTGCTGTTTTCTTCATTCTGGCTCGTTGTATCCTCTGTGGGATGGTGGCACAACTGCTTTCCTTTTGGGGAAGGCATGAAGCAGAGAAATTGAGAACTTCTTTAGAAAGGGAATCTGGTTTTAAGATACAAAAGCTTTGGTGATGACATTAAAATTTTTGTTTGAATATCATCCTTGGTGACAAACATAACTATCATTGTTTGGATGTTTTATAAACTGCTGGTGATCACATAACTTCCCAAGTAACATATTAATGTGCAACCCTAAGGTGAATACATGCCAGCCACATTAAAAAGGGCAGATATAATTCTTGTTACTTTAGCCAGTTACTGCCTTTAAGATACTCTAACCTCCATTTTGCATCCCTGAACTTTAATACACTAGTTGGCAACTATAGTGGAGCTGAAAACCTGATAAGATATTTAATAGCTCTGCCTTGGTTGGGTGAAGGAGAAAGATGAGTATGATGAAAATACCGATGGCTTTGTAACACTCAAATACTTCTTAATCCTTTTTTGTCCACGTGCATGTCCTACCTAACCTACTGTTGTGCAGGACCCTGCCATGTCGGTTGGCCTTAGCGGGCTACCAGAAGCCCACCAAACTGCTCTGTTCTTCCCCTTCCTCAACAGGACAGGGGGAGGAAATACTATGAAAGCTCATGGGCTGAGATAAGCACAGGGAGCTCACCAATTACTGCCAAGGGCAAATCAGACTCAACTTGGGGAAGTTAATTTAATTTATTGCCAATAACAGAATAGAATAGAGTAGAAATAAAACAAAACTAAAACCACCTTCCCTGCACCCCTGACTTCTTCCCAGGCTCAACTTCAGTCCCAACTCTTCCACCTCCTTCCCTGGAGGAGCGCAGGGGGATGGGGAATGGATGTAAGAGTCAGTTCATACCATTTTGTTTCTGCTGCTCCTTCTTCCTCACATTCTTTCCCTGCTGCAGTTTGAGGCCCCTGCCATGGGAGACAGTCCTTCACAAAATTCTCCAATGTCAACTCATCCCACAGGCTTCAGTTCTTCACAAACTGCTCCAGCGTGGGTCTCTTCCATAGGGTGCAGTCCTTCAGGAACAGACTGCTCCAATGTGGGTCCCCCACAGGTCACAGGCCCTGCCAGAAAACCTGCTCCAGCGTGGGCTCCTCTCTGTGGCCTCAGTTGCTGCCAGGAACCCACTCCAGTGTGCGGTCTCCATGGGCTACAGCTTCCTTCAGGGCACATCCACCTGCTCCAGTGTGGGCTGCCCCGGGGCTGCAGGTGGATATTTGCTACACTGTTAGCCTCCACAGGCTGCAGGGACACAGCCTGCCTCACCGTGGGCTTCACCACGGGCTGCAGGAGCATCTGCTACAGTGCCGGTGCCTGGAGCACCTCCTCCCCCTCCTTCTTCACTGACCTTGGTGTCTGCAGAATTTACTTCTCTCACATTGTCTTACTCCTCTCTTACAGTTCTGTACAGCAGTTTTTACCCTTTCTTAAATACATTATCAGAGAGATGCTACCGATGTTGTTGATGGGCTCAGCTTTGGCCAGCAGTGGGTCTGTCTTGGAAGCAGCTGAAACTCTCTCTGTCTCACACTGGGGAGCTCCTGGTGTTTTCTCACAGAAGCCACCCCTGCACCTCTCCAAGTCTTGCCACATAAACCCAATGCACTCTGGTTAGGCATGTACCCCCCCAACATTGTCTTCTTGGGATAACTGTCTCAAACTTCTCAATGAAAGAAACCAGCAGAGCTATTTGGGGACTAGTCCATTCATCTTTATCGCAATGTGGATGGTAATAACACTGCATGATTAATGATAAAGACGAGGGGCAACTGTGCTTGGGCATGAGGAGTCCATCCCCATCAGAGTACTATAACCTTTGAAAAATCTTTTTAATATCTTTTTTGCACAAAGCATGAAATGCCTATCCTAGCCGCAAGTAAGGCACCACAACTTGGAGGAACAGGAAGGCCGCTGAAAGCTCATTAGGGTGGATCCCCACCAGCTAAAAAACGTTAGACCTGCCATGGGTATGGACACACCCAGCAACAGCTTCCCCTGCCATCTGACCACTTGCTAACTCCACCAGTGCTCTCCCTAGGTTGGCCTCAACAAATGTGGATAGCGAAACCTTCCCTGCCAGGTGTCCCCTGCTGTGTGGAATGAGAGTCTGAAAGCAGTGTGCAAAAAATGTACACAGCAATTATTTCCTATTAGACAGCCAGGACTAACATGCTGCTAGACAGCGCTGTTTTTTGGAGCAGAGTGAATCCTGATGTTGCTGTGTTTCTGTTTTCTTATGTCTGCTTTTTTATATCAGGATTTTTTCTTTTTTCTGTGTCACCATTTTTCCTTTTGAATGGTTGAACTCAGAACTCTTATGATCTCAGTAACTTTATTCAGTCTAGGTTTTCCCTTTTTGTATCTAGCATGGCTTTAGCTAGCATAATTTTCACAGCTCAGGTGAAATTTTTCCAGCCCAGCTGAGTTAAGTTCATATAGCCATGCTGCATCAAAACCAGCCATTGAATCACAGACAGCTGTCTCTGGGCCATTGACTCCTAGTGCTGGTAAGGACCTGTGGGGCCAACTACAGCATCTTGATACCAATACCAGATTTTTCTTTACGGTCTATCACCTAGTGGCAGTTCCATTAGATTCCCAGCAAACTCTTCCAGTGCTTCACTAGATTTCCTGTTAAAAGATTTTTCCTGCTATCTTGACTTACTATCCCTGCTTCAATTTAAGCCCATTACTTCTTGAGCTCTGCTTGGAGAAAGGATGATTCTCTTGCTTGCTGAAATGCTATGCATACAAGATGCCAAGGCAGCATGATGCATCTAACTCTTCAAAGAAATTTATTGACATATTTCTGTAAGCACATTTTTCCGTATACTTATCAAATAGGAATATTTTTAGAAGCTGTGCCAAAAGTTACAAAACATTCAACAGTGATTGTAGTTTCTTATGAAAGCTGCAAAATGGCTTTTGCTCAGCTGGCAACTGTCCCCTTCAGGCAGGAGCTGTTTCCCACCTGTGTCATGATCTGGGAACAACCTGGGGATGTAGAACAGACTATAGGATGAAGGACTCTTCTGAGGTATGGAGCTACACAATGAGCATCTCCTATGTAAGTTTCAGTTACCTCTATGATGGAAGAAGTTACTCTGTGTCCGGGCAATGGAAGTTAGCTTGACCTGAATATATTTAATATTTCCCTAGAGTAACCTGACATGTCATGGTGAGAAGACACTCAATCTACCACTGAATGCAGATGGTTACTCCAGACTTTTTGTCGGAGTCTCTAGAGTCAAGAAATAAGAATGGCCTTGATTCTGATGAAACTGTATGAACCTGAGCAGGGAGATTTGTGAGATTTTTCACGGTGAAATTTGAGCTGATCCTGACCCCAACGTTGACTAAAGCACTGTGAGATTTCATTGTTGCAGTTTGGGGTCTTTTATGTTTTCTTCATCACATGGGAAGTGCAACCCTCAGACCAGTTCAAAGAAATGCTATACCAAGTACTGGGGAAAGCATGGGGGTGACGTTGGTGAGATTTTTTCATACTGGCATATAATTGCTACATCTGTGTTAATGTGGGGTTGCTGCATCCTGACAGCAGAGTCCAAGGTATTCATACTTCTGCCAGGGAAAAGTAAGAGTTTGAAATACCATAGTATAAATCTTGTTTAGTTAAAGAAAGAATGAGCAGTTGATTCTCAAAATGGCTTAGGGGTTGTTCTGCTAAGATGTACAAGATGATTTGTCCCCTGGAATTTGACTGATTTGGTACTGAAATTGCCATTTTAGACTGGCTGCTGCACAAGAAGGGGATAGTTTGGACCTTTGATCTAATGGGTCCGGGTTTAGTGCTGATGCTTGGAAGGCTGCTCAACTGAACAGTGCTCCCTAAAAATGTCTTTCTGACATTTGGTGGCCCATAGGGTCTCCTGAATACCTGCTCTTGTTGGTCACCGTACATTGGGTCATGTCCACTGCTGTGGTGACTTCTCCCTCTCCCTCTTGCTCTCCCAGAGTTGCTTCTGGATTTCCTGTGGAACGTCTATGCCCCTCCAACCTTCTTTCCCTCAGAAACTTAATTTAGCTGATGGTGCAGACAGCTGGTTTCTCAGCAGCCTTCTTTAATCAGCTTAGCTTCAGTGAAGCAGTTTCCTTCACTAAAAGCTGTCCCTGATGCTCCAGGGACTTTTAGAGCTATTCTCTGGGAACTGCTGCCTGACTAGACCAGGCAAAGTTGTCACTTGTTTTCAAACAAAATCTGTTTCAAAGCACCCTCTGCCGGCTGACTGTCCCTTCTTTGTTCTCTCCAGGTGTGTGAAAAAGCCAAGAACCAGCCAGCAGATTTGCATGCTATAACTGAATAATTTGTGATTCAGGGAAAAGTTATGCTGTTGATAAAAGGTATCTGATTAATTGGAACTATGAGATGTCATCTCTGATGGGTACTTAAGGTTACTACAGTAATTTGCATGTTCTGCTCTGTTCTGTGGGAGGTGTCTCAAAATGAAGCTTTATATCTTGTTCCTACAGATATGAATTGCACAAGCCAGTTAAAAACGGTTCCCAGTAGTATCTGGTACAAGCTACATCAGAGAAATCAGTGCAAAGGACCAAACCACAGAGAGCAAGACACTTCTCTGCTTTCTGAATTTTCCAGATGGTAGGTCTAATTTTTATATTATCATTTAACCAAAACTAACTGAAGTATTTTATATGAAAGTTTATCTCAGTTCACTTACATGCTTCTTTATCTCAACAACAACAACAACAAAATTTGATTAAAATACTAGATATGCTTCTGTGATAGACAAATATTTTTAGGACCAGCTTGAAGAGTTACCTTATAATGAAGTGTATTTAGAAATTATTTTGTCTTCGGTTTTCTGGCAGATATTTTTACTAATTCTTCAAAGACACAGAAAATATTTACTGTGGAATGGATTTTTCAGTTTAGTCTATTCATTTACTTTCTTGATTCAAAATGTTCTGTAAGAATAATATGTATATCAATTCTAGCATTTCCATACTTTAAATACCTGAATTTTACACTTACAGCTGTAGCTGGTGTAGGTGTTAACCATTGTGAGTGCTGGTTCTGGAATAAATTCAGTATTACTGTTGCTATTTTAATAGCCCATTTTCAGTCAGAATGTGTTTTCTGGTTTGGCAAAAGAATAAAATTAACTTTCAATGAACAATTCTATGTCTTAGTAAACAAAACTCACACAACTACTGTTTCATGGTATGTTTACATTTTAAAGTCTGTTAAGCTTTTTAAAGCAGAAATTGCAGTAACATTTCCAAGTTTTGTTAGTATGCAAGTTATGGTACTGTTATGTTTGTTCACTTATATAAACAGTACTATAATCACTTTGTTGCCAAATACAATTTTGGAAAAAAAAAGTCACAGCTGTCTTTAGAGAAGCAAGGAGTTAAGCCCTATAGACTACTGCTTCTGCAACATAAATAGGGGGTTCCCAGTTCTTTCATCTTCCTTTGATATTGGATCATTAGGGGTTAGGTTTTGACATACTCAGGTAGTTATCCAAAATCTCTGTATTTGGATCTAGTGTTTTTTCAGCATCATACTGAAGTTTTCCTTCACAGAGGTTAGACTCTAAGCTCATAACATGCAGTTATTGTGAGCTACAGAAGGAAAGAGATTTATGGAAAACGTCCCTTTATCTTTTTTTCCACTGAATATTAGCAATCTAAATTTATGGTATTCTGACAGCTGAAAAATATGTTATTCAGGTGTTTTTCAGACAAATGCAATAAAACACATATTCTAAATAAATCTGCAAAAGCAGAAAGAAAACTTATAACCATCTCCAGAAATTGGGGACTTTGTCTCTCAATTCTTTAAGCGACAGGAACGTCTTCCTTTTGACTGTGGGACATGAGGTGTCTTAGTGCCTTTGTCTTATGCCTCATAATACACTTTTTATTTGACCTAAGTATCACAGATGTGTGGATGCTTTCGTTTTGCTTTGGGAGAGTAATGCCACAAGCTGTAAGACACTAGTGGACTAGTCCTTCTCTTGTTATTTGCTGTCTAGAACTGACACCTCTGCTTCTGCTTTTCTTGAGGCAATTTGGCAGTTTGCTGATGACTTTGGAAAATGCAGACAGAATCACATTGTTCTTTTAATTGCATGCGCTCTTTGTATTTTCAGGGAACATTCCTCTTTAATTAAAGCCCCATATATTTCATGTATTCACACACACTAATCCCAAACTCTACTTAAGCTGCCGCCAATCCATAACAAAAATGCAGGGAAAAAAAAATCAATAAAGCTATCCTCAAATTTAGGCAAGGAGAATCTGTCCTTTCAGCACAACTATTTTGCACTTTTTGGTGCAGACTGGTAGCCCAGTATGTGTAAGGTCTCTCAAAGACATACTTTTTCAAGAAACAGAAGACTAAATAAAACAACAGGCAAGTATGATGATAGGCAAATACAGATTTCTTACTCTTGGATCCTTTTGGCCCTTGTTAGAAGAGTTGATGGGGGCAAGTAATTGCCTGTCTCCATTCCCAAAAAAATCTGTAGCTCAAAACCAGAGAAAGCACAAATCCCTGAAACTTTTTGTTAATCACCAGCCTTCCATTTCTAGGTCTGCAATAACACTGGCAATAAGGCACTCACCAATATCTCCAATAGTGGTGTCAGCTGTGACCAGATACAAAAGAGGCACATATAAATAAAATATAAAATGAGGAAGAACCTCATTTCAGACAGTCTCAAAATCTAGTCTATAAAACTGATTTACCTTTAAAAATCAATGGGTTTACTTCTTGTCATCTTACTGAAGTATCTGCCTGCTTAAACAAATATCTCTAAAAGGTAATAGGACAGTTAGTATAACTGCTGGTATACTTCACTGGGGGCAAGTAGGTTCGTGGAAAGAACCAAAAACTTGGAGGGAAAAGGCTTCCAGCAGAGAAGGAATATTCTGAATATTTTTTTGTCTATATAATTACTCAAATAATCTAATTATATTAAATTCTATTTATTATTCAGCTTAGAGTTTTTCGCTTAGCTGATTCTTAGGGTCTGTTTGAAGACTTCACTGCAGAGAGTCAGTTGATATAGATGTATCTAATCTCAGTTGTATGAACTAGCACTGCTGCAGGTAGTGTTATGGGTTATCATGTTAGCTTATGTGTATACACATACATGTATTTTGCATGCAGGAGGCATTCAGCATCTGATGGTACAGTGCTCTGGAAGGCTGCATAAACTCCTTTTGGAGGGATTCACCTTCCCATGCTATGTTGCTAGTTTTGACTATGTATATACCCTGCTGCAGTCCCAGACATGTCAGTCCCTCTCTTGGACAAGTGGGCCATGCCAAATGCATGTGGGTACCAAATAGTTTAAAGGCAGCTTGTAAACTGGCCACCTGGCTGGACAGAAGGACCTTTTAGGAAGAAAAGTTCTCTTCTGCATAAGCCAATGCTCAGTAACAAAGTCACAAGAATATGGAGATGGTGAATTATTGCGAATGATCAGTAATGTCTCTTGTGAGCTACAAGTGAAAACAGTCATTTCTGTGAGAAAAGAACAAGTGAGACAGCCTAACCAAAGCTGATTTGAACCAGTAAGATTAGGTACAGTAACAGGTAATGAACGACAATTAACTAGAATGGGAATCAGTGCAGAGAATGAAGTGGTGCTTTAGGACAGATATATATCATGACAAGGCTCAGTGAAACAAAGTCAAGCAAAATCAGTTCTCAGACACATTAGAGCTACATGGCTGTGTTTTGATTTTACCCAGAGAGACAGAAATTGAACTGGTAGGTATCTCATGGATTGTAGAAATGAGGTGCTCACTGCCATGTGCCAGAGAAACATTCATCACTGGCTCCCGATGTGATGTTCGGGAGATTGAGACACCATGTATTTATCAAATGTTGCTCATATCAGCTGAATAGTGAACTGATTTCCAAGTATCAGGAGATATTTGAGGCATTTTCACCTCCCTTTTCTTTCTCAGGAGCATATGGAGCCATGAGTCCCCATATAATTTTTCAGCTGTGATAGAAGTAGGCCTTAGATGATGGATGAAGTCATCAGAGTTGCTGGCAAATACAAATCTGTGTAGGCCCGGAATTGGATTCAGGCCTCTAATGATTGGGATATGTGAAACTCAGGTCCTCATTCCCACTTGCCAATCTGCTTTGCTCCCTGGTAGTGTCAGAAATGAATTCTAGGAACGAGCCTTCTGCTCTAAAGGATGAACAAGGACAAATGCTTTGCTGCGTTGATGCTGTGAATTTTGTTGTGTGCTGTTTTGCTCTGTATCTGTCATCCCTGAGGGCCTACCCTGTCCCAGGTCACTCCTGAATCCTCTTCTGGACCAGCTCATTCATTCCTTCCAGGACAAAACTCCTGACCTTTGTTGTTCTGAAAAGTCCTTCTAAAAATCTATTAATCTGGTCTAAGATTTCCTTAAAATTAGAGAAGTCAATAGACTGCATGTGCTTGTTGTACATGGTGCTTTTCTCCAGCTGTAATGAAAGCGAGCAGCTCCTCACACACATTGTTTCTAGACACTCCTGGCTGGTCATTTGCTTCTTATAAAAGGCATGGCATCAGCCTTGCTGTGACATTAATGTTGGGATGCTGCTTTTTCGGTCTAAACCTCATGTTTTCTGTGATTTGTGAGTATCCCTGCAAAATACCTACAGTTAAACTCTCACTCTGTTCTCTTCCAACACTAAGTTTTGTTGTTATTTTTAAGAGTTTAAGAATAAGCCTCTGGATGTTATTAAACCTCCTAAAAGAAGAAACTTTCCATATCAATACAAAGCCGATGACATTTCTCAAAGCTCAAAATCCAAGTTTGTTCTGAATTTCAGACTTGGCAGAAAAGTAGGTCTTGATAAGGTCTGTCAATGTTTGTTTAGTCTGGAAATCTTTGGCAGTGAAATAATTCCTTGCATGACGACAGTACTTACCCTGCCTGTACATTTCTTGCATATTTTTCACTAGTCCTCTTGTGCTCACTATCTGCAAGATAAATTATAATTTGTTTCTAACTTGATTTCTCTTGAAAACTTATCTGCCATCTCTAGTACCATGGGGCCTCTTCTTCCTCACACATGGTAGTAGAATCCACCGCTCTGTGATGTGCAGTGAAGGACAGCATTCAAGTGAAGAGTTTATTAATGGTAAGTAGAATGCTTACAGCTGTGTAATATAGCTGGATTGCATGTCTGCTGTCTCCTGAGATATTCCTAGGTTAAGTCAACTTAGTTCATGGACGAATAGCCAGTTTCTCAAATAAAGGGGTTTGCTGGAGAGTGCCTGAGCCACACAGTGAGGTGTGAGTTAAAGCAAGTGCATATCAATTAGACACAAATGAAGACATCAGTGAGGCACAGGATCTGCCCTACTGCTGTTACACAAGTGTAGTACATGTTCCTTTATCTACCTTTCCAATCCATTTCTTCAGTTCCCCTTCAGGTCAGCATTACTGATGGCACTCACCTGGTTTTGTTCTTACTGCTAAACACTTGCCTAGAGAAGATGTCACTGAAACTTCCACTTCCATAGAAAGCCAAAAAGATGTTGTGCATCTAACCTAAATTGGTTGGATGTAAGCTTAATTCAAAGCCAGCATATATGTTTTCAAATCCAGGATCTATCCTTTTCTAGATAGAGGTATAATTTTTCTGCACTTGACTAGTAAGAGAATGCAAATGCGCATTCACCTTCACTAAAAAAAGATCAACCAAGCAAAACAAGGCTTTTGCCTGAGGTCCACCAAGCAAGAGTAATTCCCCTACCCCCATTAAACTAAGTCCTAACAATAGTTTCAATGGAACATCAACTATTTCATTAATTATAGAACAACGAGTATAATCTCAAAGCTGCAAAACCACTGCTACACACACACGCACACTCTGTATAAGAGCAGCTCACATGGTCTAGTTTATCCCTGCATGATACCGTTATCTGTTAGGAGATGTACATCAGCGCCATGGTAATAGCATGACTGATGCAGTCAGAGGATATTCTCAGATATCAATGTTTTTTCTTTTTGGTTTAGAAATATGATGGAGTATGTACATTTAATCTTCCTATCTACCTTCCTCTCGGTTTCCATGACATCTGAAACATGTAAGTCACATTTTAAGAATACTTTCTGATGAGGTTTATTCTGTAGAAATGTGTAGGCTGTTCCCAAATTGGTGATTTTTTTAAAACCTAAAATTAGCTAGTTTACCTCAAGCCACAAACCACAGTTTAAAAACTAGCTTTATGTGTTTTCTCTGTATATTAAAACACACTGAGCACTCTCTACTTCCGTGATATTGTCTAGGTTCTACTTCTGCTTCCTGGAATCTCTGCAAGCAGAATGAAACGGGTCTTTATGAAAGGATTTGAGAGTAGCTGATGATCCAGGCCCCAGCTGGGCAAAATCTCCAAGAGCACATTTAAGTTGCACTGACCAGGGCACATGCATATGCACACTGCTGAACCAGGGATGTAACTGAGCGCTTTGCTCATTAAAAATGCTTTTTAATGTCCTGGTTTTGGGGACGTTAACCCACATGTGCAATGTAACAATAACATTTCCCTGCACATAGGGGAATATTCAAAACAGTAAGCTCTTTCTGATGGATCAGCTCTGCTGGCTCAGCTATATAATGCTGACCAGTGCTGACCAGTGACACAGCATTACATAGCACTCTCATAGTTCTAGTCTCCAGTTAAGCTGCTTATTTGTTTGAAAAATATTGTCAGATATGATCTCTAATTATTTCCCCATATTATCAATTTTACGATATGTCAATGCTAAGTTTCAAAGGAATTAGATTTATTAAGAGGCCAAATTCTGCTGAAGAATTTGCCAAGTTAATTTTCACTGATGTCACTGAGTTTAGATGAGGCCTCTCAGTTTCTATGTGTTCCCTTTCATCCTCTGTTTTTCCCTGAAGAAAGCTGTATTTCCAATTTGTTTCTCCTTTGGTGGGGCAATGCCACCTTTCCTGACACCCCTGATACATCCCACTGTCTTTGCAAGGCTCACGGGTGCAATGCTGTTAAAATGATGGGGTTGGGCGTACTCATACGCGATGTGGCTAATTTAGGTGTCTGAATTAGTAAGCAGGATGACACGTAATGTCAATGGAGATAGACTACTTCTTTAGAAAGCAGAGTAGAAGCCAAGTGTTCACTATGTAGAGAGATGCACCACCTGATTTGTGCACCTATATGTCTAAAGGCAGGTGGTGATGATACTCCATGCAGTGTCATTTTTGATAGGTATTCTCTATTTTGGTTAGCTGTTTGTTACCCACTCCCATTTTGATGCTCCTTTATCTACAGTAGCTCCTCTGCCAATCTCCATCTTTGTCCAGTCTCCATCCTTGCTTATTTTCTCATCTTCTCTCCAAAATGCAATTTAAATTTCAGATTAGCATTTCTGTTTTCAGCAGCCAGTTCACTGCTCAGGTGCTTGGGCACTTAAATATCTGTCAAAATTGCTTAAGTTTCTCTGGACCATTTTCAGTATTCAGTATAAGTAGAAATATAGTCAGTTAAAAAAAATTAATTCTGTCTTACTCCCAACATATTCCTCTTTTTCCTCATGTGTGAGCATGTGTGTTTTGTTTTCCTAAGATTCTTATTTGTCTCATTGCTTTCTGGCATTTTTTCGCCTTCCCATCAGATTCTTCCTTTTACTAATTTTTTTTTTTTTTTTTTTTCACATTTTCCTGAACTTCAAACAGAAGGTCTGCTGGATTTTTATTTTTTAAGGTTTTTTTTTTTAATTGTT